TATATAGAAATCTCAAATTTATCTTACCTGTCTAATTAGTAAGTTCTTTGTAAAACATTCCAGATAGTTACCCTACCTGTCTAATTAGTATTAAGGTGTTTACAGGGAAGGTTAGAGTTGTCTGATGGTTTTAACTATAAAAGATATATGTTTCTGATTCAGATAAGAATTGATAGGTACATTTATTGAAGTCTCCGAAAAATCTTTATATATGTTTTTATGGTTACTGTTTTCAAATAGTATAACAGACAAAATTTATCTCTAGACAGTTTCTCCAGGCCTTTTGTCTAGATACAAAGGGAGACAATTTGTCTGTGTATGGCACCATATTTTGTGTTATTTGCTTGAGGTATTCTTTAACTTAAGCCGCACACTAATACTTTGTAAGGTTAAAATGATGAGTAAATTGTAGAAAAGGAAGCTGACTGATTGACATGAAATGTAGTCTGATTGACAAATAAAGTTGCCAGTTGTCATAGTGGGTGACTAGTTGACAGAGAGGGTTACTGGTTGACAGAGAGGGTGACTGGTTGACATAATGGGTGACTAGCTGACATAGTGGGTGACTGGTTGTCAGAGAGGTGACTGGTTGACATAGTGGGTGAATGGTTGACATAATGGATGACTGGTTGACAGAGCGGGTGACTGGTTGACAGAGAGGTGACTGGTTGACATAATGGGTGAATGGTTGACATAATGGATGACTGGTTGACATAATGGGTGACTGGTTGTCAGAGAGGTGACTGGTTGACATAATGGGTGAATGGTTGACATAATGGATGACTGGTTGACAGAGTGGGTGACTGGTTGTCAGAGAGGTGACTGGTTGACATAATGGGTGAATGGTTGACATAATGGATGACTGGTTGACAGAGCGGGTGACTGGTTGTCAGAGAGGTGACTGGTTGACATAATGGGTGAATGGTTGACATAATGGATGACTGGTTGACAGAGTGGGTGACTGGTTGTCAGAGAGGTGACTGGTTGACATAATGGGTGAATGGTTGACATAATGGGTGACTGGTTGTCAGAGAGGTGACTGGTTGACATAATGGGTGAATGGTTGACATAATGGATGACTGGTTGACAGAGTGGGTGACTGGTTGTCAGAGAGGTGACTGGTTGACATAATGGGTGAATGGTTGACATAATGGGTGACTGGTTGTCAGAGAGGTGACTGGTTGACATAATGGGTGAATGGTTGACATAATGGATGACTGGTTGACAGAGTGGGTGACTGGTTGTCAGAGAGGTGACTGGTTGACATAATGGATGACTGGTTGACATAATGGATGACTGGTTGACAGAGTGGGTGACTGGTTGTCAGAGAGGTGACTGGTTGACATAATGGATGACTGGTTGACAGAGAAGGTTACTTGTTGACAGAGAGAAAGACTGATTGACAGAGAATGACTGGTTTCCATAGTGAGTAACTGGTTGACAGAGAATGTCTGGTTTCCATAGTGAGTTACTGGTTGACAGAGAATGACTGGTTTCCATAGTGAGTTACTGGTTTCCATAGTGAGTTACTGGTTTCCATAGTGAGTTACTGGTTTCCATAGTGAGTTACTGGTTTCCATAGTGAGTTACTGGTTGACAGAGAATGACTGGTTTCCATAGTGAGTTACTGGTTGACAGAGAATGACTGGTTTCCATAGTGAGTTACTGGTTTCCATAGTGAGTTACTGGTTTCCATAGTGAGTTACTGGTTTCCATAGTGAGTTACTGGTTTCCATAGTGAGTTACTGGTTGACAGAGTTTACAGGATGAGATTACAGGGACCTTGGTTGATGAAGGGGGCTGATTGGTTGACATTGAGTGAATCATCTTGGATACAATGAATTAGAAATCATTTTCCAGTCACCCATGCTTATGATTTATATAACAACCATGTACTCATTAAACAGGCGTTATAGGGACATTCAATGTTGATCATGCCCTTAATGTACAACTTTAGTAAATTCTTTATGAAGCTATTCCTATTTGCCTTGGAGAAGCTTGACATTCTAATGCCTTCTACATGGTTACCAGGTAACGTTGATTGCATCAGACTTTTTTTTTTATCATTAACCATATTCCAATACCTGGACAGATTTGTTGTTCGTGTTAATGTCTATATAAACATATACATGTATACCCTGTAGTATGAAAACAGATCTGTGCACTTGTGTCACTCATTGATCTACTGCTGTCATAACAGAATTGCCCAGTATCATGGGTATTGTCTCGGGCTTACATGATTAACCTGAGCCTCTAAACTCATATTCAAAGAAATTACCATAGCTACCAAGATTGGATAAAAACACACAGACGACCTAATGATGATGTATAAAGAAACCATGTATTCAGTGGTGTGCATTTTCTGATAATCTACTTCTACTGGTCCGAGACATCATTATCTTAACAATGTATACCTGAACTGTTATTGTCATATATCATCCATTTAAATGTCACTGAAACTCTGACCTTTAAACTCCATCTGAATACACTCTGACCTTTAAACTCTATCAGAATTTTACCTTATCATTCAAGCGCCTTCCAATTGTTAACTAGCTCTAACCTTCACCTCAGCGAAATATCACCTTATCTTGAACGAACTTAGACCTTTAACCTTTAACCTAAATGTAACCTTACTGATGGACCTATCTGACTTATGCTTTAACTGTCCACCATTTCCTCAGTCTTTGTGATAAAAGTAAGTTAACTTGTAGTTGGTTCAGATGTATATTGAATGCTCCTAATTTTAGAAAACAAATGCTACCAGTGAGATTTTAAATAAGTGATAACTTTTGCCACAGTTACCTAAACTTGATAATAAATATTGATGTACCATTAATTACAGCTATTAACAATTCTTATTCTAACACATCTGATTTTGAAGACAGTTTTAAGATTGATGAATTTTGTATGAATTATGGTGTCTTCAAGTATACAAGTGGAAACAAGTATATACCAATTTCCTGATGTGTAGAAGCCCCAATCTTTATAGTAGGTACATGTACACGAATCGTCACATGAATGCTTGACTGCTGTTCTCAGGTCAATCGTCAGCTGATCGAAGGCTCTTGATCCCATGATCAGACCAGAGACCAGTCAGATCTGACCATGCAGCAGCCAAGCAGCGGCTGTCCACTCCAACACAAGTCAATAGAGATCACGTTTGATTCAATTTCCCAGTAAAACATTTTCACGTAGAGACCATTTCTTATGAGATGATGTCTGCTGTGTTGTAGGCAATAGTAAAAGGAAATGTGTGGAAATTGATCGCAAGTATATCGTCAACAGAGGCACTGAAATAGCCTCCATTTGGTTACAGTCATACGGCTTTAGTCCTTAAGTGGCTCAATTTGGCCAAAACACAGTGGTGCCAAATTTTTAAGTCAAGCTAGCTGATTTATGACACTGATCCTAAACTATACACAAATATTTGAACTGAAAAACTGGTCTGTCTGTCTTTTCTACATGTTGGATTCTGAAAAAACAAATGGATGAGCTGGTATCAAGCTCATCTATCAATGTATGTTAAGTGATTTCTGGTATAGGTCTCCAGTATTCTAGAGGAGAGTGGGGGATGAGAAAAGTATTGGTTAGAATGAGGATTGATGTCTTCACAGAGGCGTACCTTATAGATGGAAGTGTAACCTTAAGGCTGTATGTTAGCTTTACACGTTTTACGTGAATGTTCCGATATTCTGGCTGCATAATGATAATACCTTGCAGTAAGTGTTCTTTTGTCTGTCCGATAGACATATATGAAATATTGTCCAAGGTCAGTGTGGTAAAATAGATAGGTACGTCTGTTCAATAGTTTCCATCCTAATCATGACCTAATTGTGTGCTTCAGCTAATCCATGGATTACTTGTAACTCCTTTAGTGAAAGTCAATCCTCAGCCCATGTGTGGTGTTGCCATGGAAATCTGGTACATTCTTTGTACTTCCAACAGACTTAGTTATGGTATTTATCGAGTTTAACCAGAGAAATCTCAAAATGTCTGAGGTGTGACCATTAAAATTCATATTGGATCTATGACATCTTTTAAAGGGAAGCCATAGCTGTAGATTTAACACTTGTATAATGTTCCCAAATCATTTCTATTTTAAGATTTCTGTTGAAAATCTGTTCATTTTGTTAGGAATTTTTAAAAGAGAGCATTCTTGAGATGTGAATGTCATGAAAATGTTTGAAAAATTTCACATTTTAGGAAGGAAAAATCATATGCCAATTAAGTTCATTTAAATTTAATCATTGTTGACAAATTGTCTTTCTAAGGGACACCACTCATACAATACTATATCATCTGCACTCTTGCAGTGCAAAAATTGAAAACTCATTTATATGGAAGATGCATTTTCTCCTATGAATTTTCTAAAGATCTTGAGAAGATGTTTGTCAAGTTAAACATGCTAAAATATGAACACAATGAAACACCTGATCATACTCACAATCTCTCTTCCTGTTGTACATTTAGATTTAATTTGTAATTTGCTCCTAAAGATGCCATTTGTAATTTTCATTGATCTAACACTAACATAGCGTGCAGCTTTGCTGTCTCTTCCTTCTTGGAAATTCCCATTGGTCTGGGCAACATGTTGTGTCTACATTAGATTACATATCTATATGCAGATTTCAATTTTAATGAAGATGCCATGTATCAGACATTTTAAAATGCTTCACCAGTGAATATTCTTGTTTTTATTCTTTTGTACCTACAGATCTGAAACGAATCTGATCTAATTGCACCTAGAGATCATGTACGGAAAACCGTGATCATTAATATAGTCACAGCTAAGGATTTACCTACCATTGGACCATTGTGTCCAACAATAATATCGTGATCTTTAATATAGTCACAGCTAAGGATTTACCTACCATTGGACCATTGTGTCCAACAATAATATCCTTCAAAACCAAATCCTGAAAAACCATCTCGATCTGGTTGTTTCAAAAAATGATTGACAAGTCCTTCATTTAACAGTTTTATTGGTGTGTTGTACTCACTTTTACATATATCGTTTTGGCGGATGTAGCCCTGTCTCTCTGCTTCATGCGACATTCTCGGGAGCTTCTCCCATTGCCCATAGCGTACTGAAACACATAAAAGTTTGATATTAATGTTGTGTAGTTAAAATAAAAATATCAATACATGAAGAATTTGTGTTTGATGATTGGTAAACTTTTGATTGAATTACAATCCCCCTCTCCCCCGCCCAATAAAGGGATGGATGTGATTATTTTTGTAAACGAGGGCGTTGGAGATGTATCAATATATACCTATATGTCATTGTGATGGAATGCTTTATATCAATGATAGGTTTCGAGCAGACATGCTTGATTTTAAGATCAATGAAAACAACTGCCTGTATTGAATATGTGCAGTGTTCACATTACTGTGTCTATATATTCGATACATGAAAATGTTTTTGTCAAAGTCAGTTTTCAGGGTCGGCACATAATGAGTTAATCAATAACATTTTACGTAACAGATTTCCGTGTCATAAGTCACACCTGCAGTGTACAATCGATAACGATGTTTAGTGAGACGCTGGTTCTATACCTGTTTCCTGCTACATCTGTCAGATAAGTCCTCGCTTACCTGCGATATCCATAATTAGGTCAAAAATATCATGTCATAAACTTTTTTTATGTAAATTTCCTTTAAATTGCTCATACATCACTGATAATGAGGCTTTTAGACAATTTTCTATGAATATAATCTGTGTAGAATTATTGAGAGACTGACAATTCTTTGTTATTTTAGTGAAGGTTTTTTTTTACTCCTAATGCAAACAGTTTTTCTAGGTGACAGGAATTATCTAGCATCACGCAACAACACTTTCGAGTAATTTCAATTGTTTGCATTCATTATAATGTGTGTTTTCTATTGCTTTAGCCATTAGAGTAGATGAACTTATTATCTTTGCATGTAAAAAGGGTCATTATGGTGCTTTTTACGATTAGGAAAGCTGTCTTCCTGTGTCACCTGTCATGTCTGCTGGACAATATTTATCTTTCCTTTCAAACATTGAAATGATCTGATGACATTATACCATGACATCATAGAAGTGTTTTGTACATTCAAACATACGTATATTAATAAGTTTTGTTGATGTCGTGTTTTTTTGTTGCCATGGAAACTCTCCGAGTTGTTTGAGAATTGAACACTTTATTATTGAATGGCTTTTGTGCTTGTGTTTGAGTGATTGTCTACAGGATTTAGATGTCTTCTAATGGTTTTACATGACCATGATGTAATAACATATAACTTACATGCTGGTGTTGTGAGATTCACAATATTCTGTCAGAGTAGGTATAAGATGTTTATTACATTGAAAAATTTTTTTTCTAAGATTAATTTCCAATATCTGTATACAGGTGATAGATTCATAAAACTGTTATTAACAATGAAAATCTCCTTTCAGGAGTTTTAAAAAAATTGAGAAGGCATAGTTCTCCTTGCCTCTGACTGTTTGACAGTTCAGGGAAATATCTTCATACTTGATTTTGCTTTGTTTTGTGTTTTGTTTTGTTTTTTTGTTTTTGTGTTTTTGTTTTGTCAAAATAGATGGTTATTAAGTAATGTCTGTGGGTTTAACAATAGTATATCTAATACCACTCTGTAGTAACAATGGGATAGTTAGACTAAAGTCAAGATGGTGGCCATTATAGTGACTGTTTCACACTAGAACACAACAACATTTTTATTAATCGTTTGTTTGAATTTCACAGCTTCTTTGATCTAGCAGGCTTTGATGATAGAGTTTTAAGTAGTCTCTTTAGACTCACTCTTCAGTTTACATTCTAAAATCAGCTTTAGGGATTTACCAGAATCATGCTGAAGGTTTTACAGCAGTCAATACGACTTTCTGAAACAACTGTGACATTGCCTCTACAAATCAATCTATCAAAAGTGAAATGATAAATCTGAAAAAATTATTAAAAATAATTAACGATTTGTTAATAGCCAAGTCCAGATGTTAGCTGCAATTAGACACAAATTGTGGAATGAAAAGACAATGTTGCTGACAGTAGATTATGTGCCTGATGATATTGTCCACACAACAGAATGTCTGTTTATTTTACACACGAGAGAATCACTGCCATAATGACCTATCATTTCACAGAAAGACACTTCGACCTGTGGTCACAGCTGATTAGTGTTGGTTAAGTAAATCAAATCATCGTGCACTTGACCTAACTCAGAGCAATATCAGCCTTCCAGAACAGAGGATGATACTGAGAAAATTTCATACCAAGGGACCAATGTCTATGCATATTGAATGGATTAAATGGTGTGCTGAAATTTGATTGGTCAAATTAATCAGCATTTGACCCTACTTCTGGGTAATATCGGAAGGAAAATGAGTCAAATTTGAGACAGACAAAATCCTGGAGCAGACTATCCCCTGAAGATACGATAAATACAGTAGAAAGAAAATCTCCCTAGAGTTATTTACTGGTGTAGAAAGAAGACACTCATCACATGTTTCTAGCCGTAAGCTCCTCCAGGGAGGGTGCCTAACCTACTCCTGGAGGGATAATGGTCCCTGGCTACTGTTAATATCTACCGATAATTAAATTCACCATCTCCTGGTCACTACTGTCCGATACTCGACCATCGTTATCTTGGCTCCTATAGGTTTCTTGGCATCACAGAGTTCATGGGATAGGAAAAACAGTATCCCAAAGATATATTATGGGATATCATAGTGAACTGACAGGAAGGGCAGCTCCTCTGTGAGATGCTTATTTCTGTTTAATGGTTTCTTTATATTTAAATATATAGGTAAGGCCTCATTATTTTGACTCTAATCAGCTTATTATATCATTAGTTGTAGCTTTTAAAAAACAGTCTTTTTTCCCTCCCAACAAAACATTTGAAAATTTCTGTAGATGTTTTCTTTTATTTGTTAACATTTTCATACATTCAGTTGTAATTTCACATCTTGAAATAATGTTCAAAATTAACTTAAAGCTGACAGTATTTGAATCTTAAGGGTGTGTTGATGTAGTCGATACCTTGCCAGCAGGGGGTCACAGACAAAGCGTTGTTCACACCTCCCTGAATTGGGGATCTTCAAAAAAAAATCATTTGTTTTTATGGCTTGTAACAGAAAGGTATCCAAATGCATTTTGACAGTCATTGGCTCGGAGCCTTCACAGATAAGATGAAGTCTCCACAGGGTTTATACCTTAGTCAGTTTAATACCCTGTAGTTGATGGTCATGGCTGATTAACGTAAAAGGTTAGCAAATTGCTAAACATTCCTTTAACTATATAATACTATGAAAATTGATGTGTTTTCCAGGATCCGCCAGGTACCCTAATGAGAGACAAACTGTTTAACGACCTGCGCAGCATATTGTTGACATCGTATGATAGGCTGTGGCTTCATAATCTTAACAAGAATGAAATGAAGACTTGTCCACCGATGTTGATAACACTACTTCTGGAAAGACCTCCACGGATAAAACAATCAATCCGTTTCATGGAGATTTTTCTTGATATTTTTATCGTAAAAAGCGCAATTGATGTTGAACTGCTAACTTCTCATTTCCGTGTTCTCATCTGTCTTAACTTGTTTCTCTTTATTCTTAGTTAACACAAAGCTGTTTTGGCGTCAATAATTCATAAATTCAGATTATAATAAAAGTATTGTCTCACTGAATAGCACAAACTAGTATCTGCCTTAGTGACATATCAGCAGCAGATGGCTTTTTATATTAATTTCAAATTTTGTGAATGGATTATGCCTGTGCTGTATGTGCTATAGATTGTAATCAAAGAAGAATTCTAATCAAGGGGAAATAACCAGGTTTGATTACAGTGATACATTAACTTTATTTATGATCATTATATTAAAGTTGATATTAGTATAATGACCGTGTCATGGAAAGTACTCCTTCCTACTTTAGCGTGGTCATTAAGATGTGACAATTCTCACTTGTGACAAAGTGGGAATATTTTCATGACAGGGAACGCTGTCTGTATGACGACACATAGCACTAGTGGACAGTGGAATCTCCCCTCCTCATCTTCACTCTCAGACACCTTCTTTGTCTCAAGGGGCGGTGTACTCGAGTGCCCTTGTTAGTTTTATGTTTTCACTTTAATGCAGGTTTATGGGAAACGTCAGCGCGGTCTAGTAATTTTGAATCATCAGCTGTCAGATTAATTTCTTCTTTCAACTATTTAGTTTTTTCTTTTTAGCAAGAAAACAAAAATAGAAAGTGTTCAAGTGCTGAAATAAAGTTTTAAAATGGCTTTCTAGTAACCAAGTTTACGAGCAGGAATTACTGTGGCAACAAAAATATGGCCGCCAGTAATTGAGATATTGTTGGGTCATATGCTAATTGTGTCCTTGTGGCCTTCATTTCCAGGGATGATGTCACACATAAGTTTTCGTTAACTTCAGCCTGCCATGCTATAAACCTTCTCTCTGTTTGCCTCACAAATTTTCCAAACAGTTTTTTTTGTCTATATTCCAGTAGGAAGGTGAACCCTGACTTTGGGTACAGTATCTTTATGTTATTGTCACTGATACTGATGACAAATGCTACATATGGAAGTACCATGATGTTTAATGCTTATACATTGAAACCAGGTAGACAGGTCCCTATGTATAGTGTTCTAGCCTTGAGCTCAAGGACAAATGTTCCAAAATAAACAATTCCTTTGAAAGTTGTGAATTAATGAAAATGAATCAAATGTTTTTAAGCAAGATTTTTTTATAACACCCTGTCTTCTCCTCCCCTTCTTTAATTTTTTAGTTAAGATTGGTTAGGTATACATTTGAATTTAGAAAATATTTCATGAAACCTGGAACAGATTTAGTTCATATTAGACCTGCTAGCAACACATCAAGTTCTTTACATTGGTCAAGGTTGAAGAGTCAAAGGTCATACTTGACCATTTTTGAAATAGAAATTAAAAAAAGGATATGCTGCTTACAATGTTTGTTTGTTTAAAATATGAAACAGCATACACTGACATCCCATCCCCAGTTTTAAAGGTTTTTATATATAATAATAATTAAATATTGCTGAAAAATATACTTATGTCTATCAACGGATAATGATCAGAAAACA